GAGAGTTTGTGTGTGTAAGTTGGTGTGTGTGAGTGTGAGTGTGTGTGGAGGCGGTGTTACTCACTGATGATGACGTGTGTGATGACGAAGGCAAAGATGAAGATGGTGAGGAAGGAGAGCGAGAGGATGAACAGGTAGAAGAAGCGGTAGTTCCTCCGGCCAACGCAGTTGCCGACCCACGGACAGTGATGGTCGAACCGCTCTGACAGGAAGTAATATTACAGCTTTATAATAAAACTACATGTTTAAACTGCTTTCACGACGTTCACTGCAGTAAATACCAGACTGTGATGAGACTCTTTCAGCAAAGTCCTGCATTCAAAGCTGAGAACAAACATACAAATGAAAGAACATGGAACACAGAAGTACTCCATGTAGATGTACTAGTACCTGGAGTACTTCTACATATCTACACTGACCGACACAGTTGTCACACAGGCTGCAGTGAGACGCTCGCGGCGGTCTGAAGATCTTGCAGGTGAAGCAGTATTTCAGTTTGACCGTCTGTCCGTTGATCAGGACTTCTCTGGTGCGAGGAGGCGGTCTGGAGCAGCTGGCCGAGTCTGAGACACACGAACAAACAAACACGATAATAAACAAAGACAACATCGGTGGAGCCGTCCGCTTGTAGTTGAAAAGATTCCAGTGAATCGATCTCTCCCTTAAAGTTTACCCTTTACAAAAAACGTTTATGTCACAAAACATACAAGTTTTGTGTCTCTTTAAAGTCGTTTTGTGTCTTTGTAGTTGTTTAGTGTCTCTTTGAAGTCGTTTTGTGTCTCTTTGTGGCCCCCGGAGGCCTGTGTCTGGCTGGCCTGTTCAGTAACACCTTCGGGAACACTTTCTTGTCCGTCTGTAGACAGGAAGTGAGGCCGTTGTTTCAAGCTGTGCGTCACAGAATAAGTTCCTGACCAAATAAAACAAACCTCCGTCCTCTCACACACTGAGCTGATCTTCTTCTTCTTCTTCTTCTTCTTCTTCTTCTTCTTCTTCTCTCCATATTTGGTCATTCCTCCAAAGCTCCGGCTCTGCTGTGATTGACAGCTCACTAGATTCTGGACCCAGTGTGAAAAAAATCAATAAATAAAATAATAATAACAATAAGAGGTTTCCAAAAATAGATCAGAGAGCTGCAACAGCGACGCTCAGTTTCTGTGGAAACAACTGATTCATCACATGTGTGACGGTCTGAAGACAGAAACACTTCCTGTAGTGGCTCAGAGTCTTCAGGGATGATCCTGCAGCTGCTTTACAGACTCAGAGACTCAAAACCTCTCAGAGGATGTCAGCAAGTGTTTGAAGGAGGATTTTTCAACACACGAAACCAGTTAAATGTCAAACGAGTGCTTGAAAATATCCAGAGTTATGCAAAAATCAAAAACAGACTAAACTTCAAGGTGCTGGACTAAAGGCGAGCAGAACAACTTCAACATGAACACAACGAAAGTTGGAAACAAAGTAGGGAAACGTTTAGTTTTCTGATATCGGTGCAAGTCGAGTGTGTGTGTGTGTGTGTGTAATGTAAGTATTTCTGGACTCAAACTGTTGTGTTGTTACTGTGTGTTTCTTTGATTTGAAACATTTGATGAACATTTTAGGGAACAGGGCGTCTGACCCGCCGTCCTCTCTGCGTTACCTTTCTGTCACTGATCAGTAAAGAAACAAACACATCAGTGTCGCTGATACGATCAGATGGAAAGTCGTCATGAAGCTGATTAAAAACTGATAAAAGTCATGAAAGTAAAACAGAAAGTCCACAAGATTTACTTTATAAATGTAAAAGTGACAGAGTGGCGTTTCCTCCTCCAATAGAACATCTTTGTTTGAGCCTGAACAGGATAGACGGGGTCAAGATCCAGGGGCCCAAAGGGGTCCCGGGGGCCTCAGGCACCCACACAATGTTATCACCCAATTAAATGTTGTGATGAAGATGAAGATGAACCTTCCTCACCGATTTGTCTCTCCAGGTCGGCGGCCTCGGCCGGCGTGGCTCGGGGGAGGACACCGGGGTCGGTGAAACTCGCCCGGAGCAGCATCCCCACCACGAAGACGAAGAGGATGCCGGCCACCGCCGGGATGGCCGGCGTCAGGTTGGACG